GGTAAATGCACAAATAAGTCAAAAGAAAGCAAAGTATGTAATACAGACTATAGTACCTAGCATTTTGTTCCCAAACCCTAATGTAAAGCTTTAAAAAGCAAGTCCACATCTGACTCTTCCCACACTATATAGTCTTACCACTGGAATGTCATGAAAAGGGTGTTGGTCAGAGCACACCCACCACTGTTCAAGAGGTAGGACAAGTGAGATGGTTTGACTGCTCCACGAATCTAGAACTGACAAACCAAATTCTCACCCATATATTATATACCCTATTAAAATCTTTGAAACCTCCAACAGAAACATCCCCTGGGCAATATCCTAGAAAAAGGCCAACTGGCCAAAGTCAAGTCAGGAAGTCTTCAGAGGAATGCCAGGTGGGTGATGAACACTGAGCCTCCTGTACCCAACAGTCCCCCACACTACTGTGTGGAAAACTGAGCTAATCAATACCTAGAGAAATCATTATACGGATAGTGAGATCACAGATAATGTAAATCACCAAAATGAGCACCATCACGAATAGCTATTGTGATAACCAGATTTTCTTTTCTATTTCAAAATAAATCAGCTGTTTAAAAGGGACAACCCAGGATACGGGAAATAAAATACTTCACATGCTCTTTTTGAAGTTGTGCTTGATGTTCTTTCTATGCATTACTTTACTGTGAGACGTGGGGGAGGGTAACCAAATAGTTGAGGGAAAGTGTCCTTATGATTTGACAGAAAGGGAAAATATGAGACGTAACAACTTCAAGTGTAGACCCTGATTTAGACATGCTTGTAAAAAAAAAATTGTGAGATTTGGGAATTTAAACTAGATATTTGATAATTGTTTTGTTTTATATTAAAGTTTATTTACAGATGACTTGCTATGTATGAGATTTGTTTTGTAATAATTGTTTTGTAATAATTTCATCTATATAGATGAAATATAGATGAAATAAGACAGGTTATATATGGATAATTTTGGAAGTTGGGTAATGAGTAAACCATTCTTCTGTACTTGTCTATGTCTGCAAATTTTCATGCAGCAGAAATTATTTTGACTTTAAATGATAGCTTATTTAAATTCATCTGTGCTGATTTCTGTGCAAAAGTTGGAAAGGTTGACTACAGACTCCAGCAAAATGAAGTTGAGGGCCTCTGAAAAACTAGCTACAGATGACAAAAATTTTTAAAAATTACTCTTTTGTAAGTAACATATTGAAGTGGAATAAAAAAATATAAGTTCCTAATATCCTACCTTTTATATAAAATGTTTATACTTTAAACCAATTTTAAAATTAGAGTAATGTACACTTAATACCTCAAATTTAACATTACTACATGTTCTAATAGAGGAACACAAATGTGAAGAAAGATTAGGTTTCTGAGACAGTGTATTGGAACTCGGACAAGTTTGATACTGTAAATCATTTCTAACTACACAGAAAAGATGCAGAATGTAATGTCTGCTTTTAGTTTATAAATTTATTTTGCAGGAATCGTTGACTTTCCGAATATGTACTGTTTGGAGGTATGATGCATGCATAGCCTTTTTAAATGCCTTTGTACAATTTCACTTCAAAATAATTTGATTCACAGCATACAGAGAAATCTAAGAGACATGGTACTTACAAGATTTAATTAAGTTTTTGCTGTTTTAATGAAGAACTGCTTTTACAGAAAGAAACATGGACATTGGGTGTCATTATAAATAACTCAGAATTGTTCAGTCTCAAAGCAACTTTTCATGGCTTTAAAAATTAAAATTGTGTCATTCTATTAATCTCTGAATGCCCAAGCCATGCAAAACCTACTTGTTTTAAATATTTGGGGATGCAAAAAGTACAGAAAAAATACATGTCTGGTGAAGGTGAAAACGTCATCAGAATTAACTTTTGCAATAAGAAAATACTGTTAATTCTTTCAAAAAGATACAGTAGTGATGCAACAGACAGTGCCTAATTTATTCTGATTTTTTAAAGTAACATTTCAATTGTCATTCTTTCTCTACAGATATACAGACACAGAACTGTAATATGAACTCATTCAAAGTCTGAACAAACATTAACAATATTAAAATAAATCAATTTTGACTATAAAGGGATACCTTCACATTCCAGGATACAATCATTGATATTTCCAAAGAACAATTTTTCTATGCCTTATATTCTTTTTGTTTATACTGTCAAAGACATTACTATTACCTTATAAAATACTATATAAAACTTGTGTTGCCACAGAAAGTTGAATAGGAACCCTAGATAACTGGAACAAAGCAATGACAAAATTTAAAGAAATTATAATTAAAAAGTACTAAAATTGAGACCAGCTCCTTAAAAATTATTAAACTGTTTATCACACATCCCATTTCTTTCATGGAAATAAACAAATTAGCAACACTTTCCCCACCATCATTAATGTGCTCTAAAACTACCTTTTTTTACAATGCATTTCTTTGTTTCTTTATAAGCCCCTGTCTCTACCCTCTCCCAAACAAGGTCATTATCAATTCAAAACATTGTACAATGCTTAGAAAGTTTCTGGCTCCTCTATTACCACTTTAACAAAATGGCAAATGTGCTTTCTAAAACCCAGCTTACAAAACAGTGAATTTAAAAAGTATATAGTCAGGTCTGTGTGCTACCAGATATATCAAACTAGTCTTATTTTAAGGAAACAAAACAACAAAACAAAACTTGTTACTAGTAAAAAGTACACCAACTGATCCAAAGAGCATAGGCACCTCAGCAGGCAGGCATCATCCAATCTATGTTTTACCACTTAGTCGGATTACGGATTACGTATCAAAATCCGTAATCCGAATCAATCCAACTAGGAGATCCTTTTGAAAAGACACCTTGAAAGTCTACTGAATTCTTCTTGTTCAAACTGGTCATAGGCAAGAAGTAGTTGATAAATGGAACACAGTTAAATACATCAAATTCATCAGTGTCAAGTAATTTGCTTATTTTAAAAACTGAATACAGCCTATATTGGCGTATGAAACTTGTACACAAGCGGAAATGAACACATACAAAAACTTCCTTCAAATCAATCTCTGATGTCTCATACCCCACCCTCTACACCTATCAAATAGACTGGTTTCTCATTTTTTCCTGGCAGGTGAAAAATGACTAGATATATCACTAAAGGACTGGAACCATGCATCTACTGTATGATAACAGCTTAATAACCTGGATGTATGTTCATGCAATAGTTTTAAAGTCATCTACATGGTTTTAATAAATCAAACTGTTTTCATACATGCTACTTTCATTCTCAACTGACAACTGCCAAGTTAACTGCTGTGCTGCCACTTCAACATATCATTAAGAATACTGGTAAACCTTTAGCTACAACAAACACTGAGCAGTATATATATTTCTCCCTTAAATTGTTACTTAATACCAAATGGGGTTGACCATCAATAAGGAGATATGAAACCATACAAAGGCAAAGGCAGTGGCATATTACAGAACAGTAGTACAGATAGACTGTTAATGGAGACTGACAGATACCAGCGTTACAGAAGCCTTTAAAGAATGCTGTTTAAGTCCATCTGCTTTCTCACTGTTATTTTCACAGTTTGCCACAGTTGTTGTATGAGAGATGTTTTATCAGTGTAATTACATAGCCATGCCTACTTTGTGAGACAAGTGTATATTTTTAGGGGATTTTCCACACATGAAAATATGTTTTCAAAGTCGTAGGTAGAGTATGAAAGTATGATTTTGATGGAAAACTACGAGTTATTATGCCTTTGGTTTCATTATGTTATTAAGTCCAACTTATTTTTCCAGATCTGCTAGAGACTACTGCCAAATTAGAATACAAAGACAACTGGGTGTGTGTGTGTGTGTGCGTGTATGTAGGGGGGGTACCTGGTATGGGAGAGTGGATATTCCTGAAGTTAGAGCCTCAGGTAAATTCCTTCAGGATTAGAAAACCTTATTTTATTGCTGTTTATATTCACCCAAATAAGGGAAGATTCCAAAATCAATTCTCGACAATGCTGGAGACCTTACTTAAATGTCCTATTAATAATTTTCCAGTGGTGCATTCTAGTGAATTAATCATATGATTTTACATCTTCACACTCTAAAGTTCTGGTTTCATAAATAAGGAGTGCTTCAGTGTCACATGAACAAATTCAATGCTATTTCCAAATACAGTATGTTAAATATGAAAAATCGTTAGTTTCAAAGTCCTTTGTATTCAACCTTTCTCTTAATCATATTTCTTGACTAGCCTTCTCTTCCTCCCCAAATAACACAGTGTGCAACTTTATGATATTGGTGGATTTCCCTCACACTGGTTTATTAACATATGTGCAAATAAATACTTATTGAACAACTAATATATATTTTTTCAGCTAAGTTAGGATTATGGCACAAAGTATTATCTGTGCTGTAAACATCATGAATTCGTCACAAAATTGGAAGGGAGGAGAAAAAAAAGCCCTATGCACTGCAAATATTTTTTTTTTGTAGAACCACAGCTGAGATCGAGATTTCCAAATGGATTTTGGAATGGATTTAACATTTGGCATACATTTACTGTGCTATCGGCAAAGCGCAGTTTTGCAAGAAGGTCATTCATAAAAATCATACTTTGTAAGAACTTGTTATTTAAAACCAATGACCTAATAAAAGCATGCAGTAACTTAAAAATTATATGTTATGTGGTGTGATTAGGTCTTAGTTACCAGTGTTGTATATATCTTGATGAATCATTGTACAAGCAAAAGGGATATTAACACCTTTGATTGTACTTTTGAACAAAGGGCACAATATCCCTAATTCCTGACTGCTACAAATCACATTTTAAAATATCTTGTGTGTTGGAAATTACCCCTGAAAAAAAAAAAAAAAAAAAAAAGCAGCAATTAAAAATACCCTTATTATTTTG